ACTGAAGCTCGAAGATATTATCATGTCATATATAACACCGGAAAATCCTACAGTTGAAAAAAAAGTTTGCGAGTTCTTTGATGTTATTAAACAGATTCCTTTATAAGTGTTGGTAATTATGAATTAAGTGGACACAGTAATCTTCTACACATCAAAATGTGATTAAGCCTTAACTGTACACCCAAAGAACTGAATTTAGATATTTGAATATACTGATTCAGATTTGTCTGAAAAGTGAAATTATACTATAGTTAGATGTAGTCTAGATAAGTTGTCGCTAAACTCTCTCACAACTGATTCAGATTTGTCTGAAAAGTAAAATTATACTATAGTTAGATGTAGTCTAAAAAAGTTGTCGCTAAACTCTCTCACAAGAGGCTCAATCCCAGGGACCGACCTCATAACCATTTTGTGCTTGTTATAGTTTTCATACTATAGCTTTTAATACGGGAAGCATATATTAACAAAACTTTGCAGATTTTCAGCATACATTACACAGAATATCAGATTCTTTAAGTAATGATTTGCTCGTGCAATTTTTCTTTTAGAATATTGACTTTTGATTTTAGGATTAAAATAATTTTATGTGTCAGAAAATTGTCAAATTTCACATGGAAAATTTTATAACCTCCAGATAATTATCAAACTTTGTATTTTATCTGTTATTTTCACTACTGTATCTGTGTATGGGTTTGATTGATTTGACCAACATTATAATGGAATGGATAGTTTACATTTAAATAGGGTAGGGGCTGGTTTGTTTGCTAGGGCTGTTAACTCAGCTGTAAGGAAAGTTTTAAAATAGGATTAGACAATGGTGAGCACCAGAAAAAACTAAAAGCAAAAATAATAAAAGGCAGAGAAATGTGTAGTATAGGAAATGAGTATAGATGTAGTTATAAGGATAGGTTTAATTGTTACTGTTGTAATGCTAGAACTATAAGAAATAAAATTGATGATTTTAGAGCACTGGTAGGAACAGAGGATTTTAATATAATGGGAATAACTGAAACATGGTTAAATGTAGATGATTTTAATGACAGAACTTTCTTTGAAATACCGAGTTATAGGCTATTTAATAGGGATAGAGTATTAAAGAGTCCGGAGGAGTGGCTTTATATGTAAAATGTGAGTTACATCCTGTTGAAGTTGAGGATATCAAAGATAATAGCAAAGAGATTGAATCAATTTGGGTTTCTATAGTGGATGTAAAGGGAAAAGGCTTTTGGTGAGAATCTGTTACAGTCCACCAAATGATACTGATGAAATTAGTGAGAAACTCTACA